AGTAGTTCAACCTCTCTGTGTAGTAGGTGGAATTATGGTCCCCCTCCCAAAATATATATCTGCTCAGAGCCTGTATATGTGATTTTATTTGGAAAAAGGGTCTTTGCAGTTGTAATTAAGTTAAGGATCTCAAGATGAAATAATCCTTGATCATTCAGGTAGGCCCTACATCCAGTGACAAATGTCCTTAGAAGATGAGGAGAAGACAGACCTAGAGGAGGAGGAGATGTGAAGATGGAAGCAGAGACTGTAGTGATGTGTCTGCTGGCCAAGGAACACCAAGGATTACCAGCAGCTACCAGAAACTAGGAGAGATGCATGGCACTGTCTCTCCCTCAGAACATCCAGACAGAATCTAGGCAACTAACATGCTATGCTTTGGACCCAATATCTTCAGCTTGCTTCTACCCCAGTCTGCTATAAGGCTAGACTTACCCTGAGTTTGAGGCCTTCTGCTATAGTGTTCTGAGGGATCTTACTCCATAGTATATGCTGGGCATCCCGACCTTGAGAACAACCATGGTCATCTTGTGGTGGAGAAAATTGAAAAATAGCTAACATTTGATGGCCATTCATTATGCTAAGAGATTTACATGTAATATCTTATTCAGTCTTTATAGTAGATCTCTGAAGTTGGTTCCATTATTTTCTCCATTTTCTACATGAGGAAACAGAGGCTCAGAGGACTGACCTAGTACATGTTAAGGCAATTAAAGTGTTGAGAGCAGGTTTGAGCTCTGAACCTGGGTAAGCTTCACTCTGAAGTCTTTTCTCCAAATCATTTGGAATTTCAGAGAAAATGGAGAGCTCCTTGAGCGCCTGTGCCCCACTAAGAAAGGTTTTGACATTTATGAGAGCATCCCTGGGATCTCTGTGACTTCTTGAATTCTGTAACTCTCTCTACTTGAGAAGGGGATGGTGGGTTAACTCATGAAAGGACTTCCAGAATGAGTGACTCAAATCTGATTCTTATTTAATTCTCCCCCCTGACCCAACAGCATTATGAAAAAAAAATCATTATTAAACCTGTTACAGGTTACTTCAAGTCATGGAATATTGAGGTTGCTCATGAATAGAGGAAGCCACCAACATTAAATTTCAGAATCTATTTGGTTTCTGAATTAATTTACATTGGAAAATATATCTTTACACTCCTCTGTGTAGGAAAGATTTTTAAAGCTTAAAATTAATGGAAAGAATCACAAAGGAAAATTTAGATAGGTTTGACTACAGAAAAATTAACAACAACTGCATGCCAACAATGATTTTGAACAAAATTGAAGGGCAAACAAACCTCTGGAAAAACACTTACAGCAAATATAAAGAAAGACTTAATAGCCTTGATATATAAAGATTGCATACATATCGATAAGACAAGCAATATTATTCCCCAATTGATAAATGAAGCAAAGGGATAGTGAGGTAAATTATGGTATGTTCATCTGGTAAGACATTAAGAAACCACCTAAATGATATTTAGAAGGGGTATCCAGTGGCAGGAAGATTCTCATTAAAAATACTAAACTCACAAAGCAAGCTATAAAACATGTTCAATATAATAATGAAAGGTAGCATTTATTTGGGGCTCTTCATGTATCACATACCACTTTGAGTGCTTTCCATGCCTTATCTCCTTGAGTCCCCTAAACAACCTAACGAGGTATGTACTATTACCATTTGCACTTTATATTCAAGGAACCTAAGGCTCAGAGAGGTTGAGTAACTTGTTCAGTGTCACCCAGCAAATTCATATAGCTGGGATTCCAGCTCTGTCTGTCTCCAAAGTTGTAACTCTTTATGTTTCTAATGGCTTACTACACTATAAGTCACTTGATGTTAGGATCCTGCCTTTTTATCTTTGTATCTCTCATAGTACCTTGCAAGTAATTCATGCTTGCTGAATTAGGGAGACAGAGTAACTTATTGATTAAGAGAATAGGCCTTACAATCAGACAGGTTTGGGTGCCCCTGGATGATGTAACTGCTGCTAGCTTCAGTTTCTCTGCCATAGTGAATTGTGGTGAGGATTAACTGAATTTCTGTACTTGGTGGGCTTAGCATGTTGCCTAGTACATAGAACGTGTTCAGAAAATGGCAAGTGATGCGGAACTGAATAATATCATATCTCTTTGTACAATAAAGCAAAATATTTATCTTAACAATTGGTACTGATATTGTTGTTAGGGAGCAAACCATCTTTGCTTGGGAAAATAACCTTGATGATTTACTAAGGGTATTTGAGATCTGAGGATATGAGTATTGCAAGTTCAACCTTCAGCACTCCCCATCCCCCCCAAAAAAGGGGAATGGTTCAAATAGTGGCATCTGAGAAAATAAGATTATTTTTTCCTCTTGAGAAGGAAGAGAAGAGAGGAATACAAAGGGTTAGTGAATCCTGAGGGGTGAGGCTGAATGAACTGGTGGGAAGGAAATGAGCAAACTATGAAAAGGCTGAGTGAAATGCCATTGAAATCCTCTGCTGGTGAGATGGTCCAACCTCTTGTGTTTCATGTTTAACATGATGTTGTGTTACTGCAACATCACTCCACCTTCTTCCTTCCCGACCCCCTGGTGATTTCTTCCAAAAATCGACTGAACTCACAACTGCTTTACGTGAACTTTTAAATAAACAGAAATGACCTCTTTCATGACCAGATGGATACAGGCCTCTGCAGAGGTGGCACCTAGAAAAGGAGCCTGGAGACCTAGAGAAAATAAGCTGCTCCAGGAATCCTCACGGGTCTTCAGATTTCAACAAAGTCGAGGGAATTCACACTGGTTGTATGGAGTTGGGGAATCCCTTATTGATAGTTTGTTTACCTCGGTCGCCTTACTGTCCTTCGCATGATAAATGCTCAGCAGAAATTTGTTGAATAACTGAGGAGAACAATAAAAGCATATCTGTGTGGCTCAGACTCTAATTATGTAGGAATTCAGAGAAGGGAGAGACCCAAGTGCTAAAGGAAAGCAGGAAGGCTTTGTTCAGAAAGTGTCACTTCTGACGCCTTGGAGAGCTGACCCAAGAGTGAGTTTTGCTGTTGTCACTGGGTTGATAGGAGCGCATGAATGGAGACTAGTGGTGCAACCAGCCAGCTCTGTGCCCTGTCAGAATCTAGTATTTGCTATTTGGGACACTTCTGGAGGGTACTTGGATATCATTAGAGTGTGGTCAGAAGAGATTCACGCTGTTGCTGTCACCAAGGAAAGAGGGTCAATGAGTTCATTTTGAAGGGGAGCAGGCGACTCGCGGACCCAGGCATAGTGGCTCTGGGCATGACTGAAAAGGAGACGGATTGCCGAGAGCCTGTGTGTTCAGAAAGGATGGGGGTTAGCCTCAGAGTGGTCAACTCTCCCGTTGCCTAGGAAAGGGCACCTTGGACGCCTGTCAGTTGGAAGATATTGTCTCCAGATGGAGTCCTCTGCCTGCTGGCAGTCAACAGCATTATTTGGTAATATTTTGATGTGCTATTTATATGGAAAGGGGGGTTATTGACATATCTTTCACATCATGCACAAACAGTTTTAACTTCTCCTTCTGAAAGGGACTGTAAATGATGAAGATGGAAAATCCTGGAAAGGCATTAGGGGGCAAAGAATGGGCCGGGCATGGACTCGTGCCCAACACCATGTGTCCTGGCCCAGCATCCAAGCTGAGGCTTGATTTGCATTCAGGCTGCATCTCTGGTTGGTGAAGCTGGACTCGCTTGTCGTCCTGACGAATCTGGCAAAAGCTCCAGATGAGGGGTGACAATGAACAGGAAAGCACTGCAGAGGGCAGGGATGGGAGGGGAGGGCTTGGGGGATTACCCAGGGGTTTCATGGCATGCATTTATCTGTTCCTTGTCTCCATTTGGGAAACAACTTAAGAAAAGCAAGCAAACAAAGAGGTTCACATTATTTTAGTGACCTCTGACAAAACCTGCACATGTCTTCTCGGAAATGTGTGCCTTCCCTCCACACAACATTCGTTTTAAGCATTTAGCTTTCCCACACAGTTGCAAATTAATTTACCCATTCATTTTCCTCCCCTTCTCCTCTCTCTCTCTCTCTCTCTCTCTCCTCCCCTTGTACTCCCCCTCTTCCATAAAATCAGTTTAGTCAGCACAAATTTGGAGGCAGAACCAAACCCAGTAATAGCATATCTCATGCTGCTATCAATTTTCCGCCAAAAGAACATTTCGGGACACAAAGTCCTTTGTCTATTTCCAGAAGCTCGATTCAATGACATTACATGAATGACTACAACACTATAGCATGTTCTGCACCGTTTCAAATTGTAACCTAAAAAAGGGAAGAACTTGGATTGTGGCCAGAGTGTAATGATTTCAGTTCTTAAGAAAATCCAGCAACCATCACACCACATTCAATATTTTCTTGCTGTGGAAATTTAAGAATCGACTCTAATCAAATGGCAACCCCACCACCCCCATCCTCCATTTTGCTATGGTTCCGGTTACTAGCAGGCCTCCCACGTCTGTTTTGGCTTAAAAAATAAATAAGTTTACAATATGTTTTTAAAAATTGGGCTGAATCAGACAATTGTATATCTTAGAAAACGAAGGCAAAATGTAAAACAGGCTAATCATGATTCCAAATTCAATCTTCAGGGCCCTAATTGATCCCATCCCAAAGGTAACATTCTATCTTAATTGACATGCTGAGATGGTTACAATTATGTAAAATAAAACTGGGCCTGTTGGAAACTCCATGTTTTCTTGCTGAATGGGAGATGGCCAGTTTTTATAATAGTTGATTGCAAAAGGATGCAACCACTTTGCTCATATTTCCTATTTTGGTTTGGCCCTTGTGCATGTGCAGTGAGGTTCCCCTTCCTTTAAATAAAGTATGGGCATCAATGGGGATTTGATGCCATTATATTTTCCTTGGGGTTGGGACATGATAGAAAAGATCAATAGTTTCAATGTCCATTTTGTAAGCCAGTTCGAGAGAGAGAGAGAAAGAGAGAGGATGAAATTGAACATTTTCATATTTATTGGCAGAGTGATTTTTCTGCGCGATTGTGACCACACGCACGAGTTCGGCCAGGATCGGAAACAGATGGCAGTGAGCAGGCGCAGAGCGTACGGAGATCACGCGATGCAGCGCCCACGGGATGGATCCACAGCCCTTCTGGGACTTGGTGGCTCTGAAGAACGATTCCCATAAGGAGCCCTCACCCCCTCTCAGTCGCCTGCAGCCCGTCTGCCTCTCTGCCGAGAGCACCACAAATGGGAGGAGGCCATGACTCTCTGGGGGCGATGCCGGATATTGGGGAGGCAGGAAGGCAGGAGGCCCGTTCATGCAATCAGGGGAGGCCGAGGCCACCTTCGCGATGGAATGGAACACCTGTGCCTCTTGGCGTCTTGCCTCCCTGGATGGGAGAACCAAGAGAGCCCTGTGCGTGGTGATTAGTGTGAATCACCCTCCTGCCTAGACACCAGCCGTAGCGGTGCCTTCATGTCGCATCTCGACCTGGCTCACTCTCCACCTCTCAGGAATGTCAGTCTATCAACACCCTCACTGGCCCTGATTTAGTTCAGAGCCTCATCAAGTCGCTCCTGGATCATTTGCTATGGATTTTCTAATTGGCCTCTCTGCCTCCAATCTTGCTGCAGCTAATTCATGTAGCAGCTGGGGCAATACAAACCCGACTGTGGGACTTCCCTGCCTAAACCTTTCCCTGGCTCCCCCAAGAGACTCAGTCAGAATGGACCACAACCGTTGTTGCTTTCTTATCAGTGTAATTATTTGTTGAATGCTTCTTTGCCTGCCAGTTTACTGCGGGATGCGTGGCACCTGGCACAGTGCCAGGGGCTTGGTAAATTTTTGGTGACTGAATGAAAATGGCTTCTGTGAGCGCCTAGGCAGACTCCCCTACCCACAGAGCATTATACACATGTACTCATATATTCTTCCCTTAGCAAAATATTAATGCATTAGTCAATATTTATCACCTACTCTAGGCCTGTATAGACAAAGAACACATCCCAAGAAACACGCTTTGGGCCAATAGTGCAGTCTGGACATACTGAAGTCCTGAGGAAGCACCTCACACAGTAATGGTCTGATAAACAGAGACTATTATATTTTGTTGTTACTTTTTGTAGATGCTCAACCTCGAGGCTGCATGGGTCTTAAACCTTACTGAACAGACTAATTTTATAGAAGGGGAAACGGAACCCGGGAGAGGTTATGTGACTTCCTGGATGACCAGTACTCAGTTACGGGCAGGGTAGAGATGCAAATCAGGGCTTCTAGTGTGAAGCTCTTGTACTGCGTCGGGCAGGAGCCCCAGGTTATTTGGGAAATAAGCAAAATCCCTCCATGGCACCTCCTTTAATTCCAATTCACTTTTATAGCTGCCTGCATTCATTTCCCATTTTTATGTTATTTGGGCGCAAGGCCTCCATGGAGAACCCTGTTCATGAGAAGCAGCCTGGGACAAAAACAAGGAGAGGCAGCCCTGGAGTCAGGAAGACCTAGGCTCAAATCCAGGCTCTACTATTGCCTTGCTTTATGAGCTTGAGCAATTCACTTAGCTCTCTGAGCCTCAGTTTCTTCATGATGACCTCAGAGTGTTGTTATGTGGATTGGATGAGAAAACATACGAAAGGCTCTTGCCATCTCATAGAAGCTTAGTAAATATCCAATGCCTTTTCCTTCTCTCTCTTTTTGTACCCCATTTGGCCCATGTTGCTCTAGAATTTTCAAGGGTATCATCTTTTGGTGGCTCCACACACTGGTTCCAGAGACATATGTTCCCCCCTCTGACATCTTCCCTGTGTGTTTTTATTTGGCACTATGGGCACCACAGTGATATGGAAGAAAGTCATGCTCTCAAGTTTAGTCTCTAGTGCATAAGTCAATGAGTACAGAGAAAGTCACAATAGAATCTGATCAATGCTATGATAGATGTAAATATGAGGTGATTTGAGGGAACAGAAAAGGGGAATGAAAACCTAACTGTGGTGCCAGGAAGACTTGTTGGAGGAAATGACATCTGAGAGAGGCCTGGAGCAGAAATCTGAGAGAGTAGTTCAAGTGAAATGAAGACCTACTGTGCGCTAGGCATCATTGTAGGCATTAAGGTTACAGCAGTGATAGCAAACCGAAGTTCTTTCTCTAAGAAGCTTTCATTATAGAAGGGAGATAATGACAGGCAGAGGGAACACCATGTACAAAGAACTACTAAAGGGCAAACTACATTTCAAATCCTCTTAGCTTGACCTGAATCTCTTGTATTTTTCTCTTAACTATCCTGACTGGTACTGACACTTGGGAGATTTTGTCTTCAGCCATGAAAAGAAAACAAATAGTTTTTTTCTTCCTCAAAAGAATCCCACTCGTATTTGTTCCATCATTCACAGCCTGCCTGAGATATTACTGCTAATCTCTTTGACATGGCACAAGGCTAAGGCTGTCAAGTGTTCACAATTCCTGAAAGAGAAACACTGGGAAAGGAGTCAAAGTGGAAAGGGGTGACCCATGGTAGAGGAGAAAAGCGCTAATAGTGGGAAAAGAAAAATGGGGAAGAAACTTTAGAATGGATAAATCACTCCCTCTGAAAACCGGATGTGAAGCCCATTTCCAAATTATGCTCTTGGTTTAGAGGTTTAAAACATTTGGTTAAAAATGACCAGTAAGTCAGTGTTTCTCAAGCTTGTGAAGGCAAGACTCTAACCTACTAACTTTGGAACTCTGTAATGGCACCTGGTGGAAGGTAGGTGCTCAATCAATGTGTTAAGTTAAATTTAGGTTTGTTCTCAGTAGCTCAGCCCTCTGTGAGTAGGCTGCTGGTTTCTGTTGACATTAGAATAACATTCCTTTGAAAATAGTTGTGATCTTTGGGAGGAAGGACTGTGACCGATTTACATTTTGTCCTTTCTTTTAGCCTGCATTAAACATTTTGTTATCATAAATGTATTACTTTGTTTTTTAAAAGATTTTTATTGGGGAATTGGGGGAAGGGGAACAGACAAGTTGCTGTTGCTTTGTTCTTCAGTTTAGTTATAGAGGACGTTGCTTCACTGGCCCAAGTTGGCAGCATCATTGCTCTCTTTTCAGGTGAGGCAGATCAGTCGCCGGTTTCTGGACGGCTGCTCATGGCGGCTGCTGGCCGCTCACGCTGGCTGCTGGCTACACACAGTAGCCCATGGCAGCCCACTGCCACAGGGGCTGCAGCCCATGCCGTCGCTGCGACTCACAGCAGCCCAGCTCCAGGTTGAGCTGTTGTTCAGCATCTTAGCTGTGGAGGGCAGTGTCACTGGCCCTCATATGTGGCATCTGAACCGGGGCCCTCTGGCGTCCCAAGCCAGTTCTTAACCAACGTGCCACTCGGCAGGCCCATAAATGTATTACTTTTATAATAAGGAAAGAATAATAATTTCCTGAAAGGTTCATCCCTAGTTCTCCCTTCAAACAATATTTATAGATAGAAAGAATGGAAGGTTGAGGGGACAAGCTTTCATGGTGACTCACATGAATTGTACCCCACGTGGCAGGGAAGGATGGAGAGAAAGTTTGAAGTCTTTGGACCTAACATTTTCACATATTGAGGCCAGCAGAGTACCATCATACAGTAAATGTTCTATACCCATTGAGTGAATGAATATCAGGGAAGCTGGTGAAGCTTACTTTTCCATTCACTCATTTTTCCTCCTAAAGAACTTCCCAGTTAGAGAATTCCTCCTGTGGCCTATAGGTGAGAGATGGGTGAGTCAGAAACAGGGTCCAAACAAGTTGAGTGACCTGCCCAGGTCATGCCACAGGTTGGCAAGCTAGTTAGCAGAGCCAGAGCTAAAAGCTGGAGACCTGTGCCCAATCCCGGGGCCAGGCCCTGTAGGCTCCTCAGCCAACCAGCGTGTTGCATGGCCACAGATTACACACATGTTGCTTCCCGTGAACGGTGTTGTTGTTTGGAGCATAAGGCTGCCTTGAACAGATCTCTACTACACAGAACAAAAGTAACTTTGAAAAAAAAAAAAAACCTCACACACTAGCACCCTTCCTGCCGGCCCTGTTGTGATTTTGCACCGAGGGTGCATTTTAATTGATGAAATGTGCTACACAGCCCAACTAAATTGAAAAGTAACAACCTTTGCTTACCATTTGGAGATGTGACGAAGTGCCAGAAGTTAAACTCTGAGGACTAAATGAAATAACAGAAGCTCCCTATCCTCTCTTGAAGAAGCTCATTAGTTTTTGCTTTCTCACATTCTGTTTGCTGTGGCCCAGAGCCAAAAATGGAGATGGCAAAGATAATAAAAGAGAGTTAAAAATATGTGCAGAGTAGCTGGGCAGTGTGGGACCCCAGACAGCTGGAGGAGTGGCTCAGGTAGGGAGGGGTGAGGAGGGAAGCAGGAGGGACAGGAGGAGGGGTGAGGAGGGCAGAGACAGAATGACAGGCAGAGAGAGACACCCACACACAGAGATGCATGTAGGGAAATGGGGGGACAGAGAGGCAGGGCACCAGAAGAACAGAGAGGGACAGAAATACAAGAGTGTATGGGAAACAGTGCACACACACTCAGAGACAGAAACACACACACTGAGATGGAGCGATGGAGAGATGGGGAGATGGAAAGAGGGGCAGGGAGAGGGGGGGGGAGGAGGAGAGAGAGAGAGAGACATGAGAGACTGAATGTGCTCTGAGCAAATGTGTATAGCAATTGGGGTGAGTTCAAGGGTCAAGGCCATGCTGTGGGGTGCAGCAGGGGCAAGGTCAAGCACATCATATTGCTCCCTCTGTGTATTCTACCCACAGCAGCATTTAGACGCAAGGGAAATCAGACTTAATGTGAATTTCGAAGGCAGCCATGAGAATGAAAAGCAGGAGAGAGGATGTCTCAAATGTGGCTTACCCAGCTGGCAGCAGCCCTAGTTCCCTAGTCTATGATTAAAGTCACTGAGATGATCCTTTCTGTCCTAACTCCCACATAGCAGGAGGGCTAAGGGGCCCCTGTGGCTCACCTCCATCTTACCATTTAATCTCTGGTTCTCAGGCCTAACACAAGGCCTGGACAAAGCAGGAGCTTGCTAAGTAAGTGCTGGTTGACGTAAGCATAGTGGCACCCCCTCGTCCCTTCCTGCTGCCTCCTCGATGTCATACAGTTCACTCCTCTACTCAGTAAATTCCTGAGCATCTACTCTGTGCCAGGCACTGGTGAACAGGCACTGTCCCTTCCTCAAGAGCTCCTGTTTTACTGGGAGAAACAGATTAGAACGTGGGCGCTTCCACCCCAAGCAGAGCATGGGGGTCCCAGTTACTTGCAACTCGGGCCGAGCTTGGAGGAGCGTTACATGTACAAGTCTTCAACAAATGCCACGGTGGGCGGGCAGGCAGACCGGGACTGAAGGGAAATGTCATAGAGCAAAAACAGAAAAGGAAAAGAAAGGAAAAAGAAGCTAGCGTTTACTCTTGTGCCAGGCAGGCACTGCCACATATGTTATTTCATTGAATCTACACTGATCTACACAGCCACCCTGGCAGGTGGCTACTTTTATCCTCACTTTTTTTTTTAGATGGAAGTTCAGAAAGGTTAAGGAACCAGTCCGGGGTCCTTCAGCTAGTCAGTGACAGAGTCACTAGCCCAGGTCTGTCTTTCTACCACCCCAGATTCCTCCCGAGGCCTCATGAAATTCATCATCCATCAAGGAGACAAAGAGCTGACATTAACACTGAGGCAGCCACAGAACACAGCCAGGCTCTGGCTGTCACCCACCCCTCCATAAATGTATTTTTCAACAATGAGGTTTTCTCTGCAAGTTAGTGATTTTATGGCTCTCAGCAAAAATCTGTGACACCAGATGTTAAATGCAGCAGGAGAAAGTTATTTTCATCATTGGTGAAATCTTGCAGAGTGCACCGAGTCTGGTCACATATCTGACTTCAGGCAACATGTGATCTGATTTCTGTTCCCAGAAAGAGGCTCGGCAAGGGCGGACAGAGACACGAGCGGCTGCTTGGGCCTCTGGATGTTGGGAAAGGGGACAGCTCAGCCTGTGACTTCTCTTGTGACTTCACTGGTAAACAACACCTGGCTTGTCTGTGGGACCAGGCCCCTCAGCCAGAAACCGTGCAATTACTTGCCGGGGCCTTGACAATAGCACTCTCGGAACATGTCTACACGGCAGCCCCCACTCCCTCAAGCCCTAGCTGGTCATACTGACCTCTCCTCTGTGTCACTCCTGTCTTCTCTGTTCACTTCCATCAACATGTTCTCTCCTGTCTAGGTTCCTGGGACAATCCTCATGGAGACAGCAACTGTCTAGCCCAGGGGTCAGCAAACTGCGGCTCAAGAGCCACATGCAGCTTTTTGGGTACATACATGTGGCTCTGAAGTAAAATTGAAAATGAAAATAAAACTATTGTAGTTTCATTTACAAAATTTTTAAAGGATATGATTCACATAATGGTGATTTCATTTGTTTTATAGGTCTTGCAAAACTTCGAGGGACAGGATTGGCTCTTCTGTCTCAAAAGTTTGCGGACCCCTGATCTGGCCGAATCACATGAAATTGCCGTTTTTTTGGTAGGTAAACAACAAACAAATATTGGCCATTCCACGTGGTTCATGCTAATATAGTGAGAACCTCAGTATTGTATCGGAGTGGTTTCCTCATCGTAAATGGAGTGCTATTGGTCCCTGGGTCATAGGGCTGTTGGAAGATTAAATAGATAACGTTTGTAAAGAGACCAAGGATATTGCTTGACACATAGATAGTGTTCAGTGAATGGAAGCCAGTATTAGGATACGATTATCATTGCCCCAGGCTTCTTACCTTGTCTGCCCCCAAGTGGCGTCTTGTCCCACACTCCTTCTGGAAGCCTACTTGTCCCATTCTCCACAACTCGAGTCTGCCTGATAACCCAGCCCAGCGCTGGGTTCTCATCACCAAAGACCATATCTGCAGCCCCTGTCTGACTCCCCTGAATGGCTGCTAGCGCCTGGATTCAGGCAGTGCCCTCCGTGTCTGATGGCCCCAGCAGAGCCAGCTTCAAGGGCAGGTCAGTTCCCTCAGGCTCTGTGTTCGCTGAGTGATGCAGGCCCTAGGTTGGTTTTCCATTGTATCTAGAAGAAATGAAACAGCAGTGTCTCCTGGGGGAACCAGTGACTGCTCCGGCTGGGCAGTTCTGTGAATTTAGAAACACATGTGTTCTTAGACTCAGAATGGAGCAGGGCTTCAGGACAGATTCCTACCAGCCCTCCTGGCTTCCAGGAGACTGGTGCGTGAGCAGGGCCAGTTTATTCACTTTCAATGAGAAACAGAGCTGCCAAGGGGTAGGAATGCCTGGGTCAGCACATGAGCTCCCACTAGGAAATCTGCAGGGAGAATTTATGGGATATTTGGTGAAGAGTGAATCTGAGAAAAGGAAGACAAGTGTCTCGAGGGACTATGAGGCCCAGTGAGTCCTCTGCCCACAGCATAGCATCCCTCTCCAGTGGCCACCTGGGGTCAGTGATTAATTCACTGACTTTCTATTGAGCAGGGCTGAGGAGAAACAGCCAGCTCTTCCTCTTAGGGTTTTTTTTTTTTTGGTGTATGTGTGTGTGTGTGTGTTTCTCATTTCTCTATGACCCCTCACCCCTTTTGGTGAACACTATCTTCCATATACATGGCAATATTATGTGATAATATTAACCAGCGATTAACTTCCTGAAATACAATTAATCTCAGTTTTGCCTTCCTGAGATGATCTAAGTCATATTCAATTTAAATCTGCTCAATATGACAAATATTTACTGTGCACCTACTACATGCTAGGCCTGCCTAAGATTTTCCAGGTAATGTTAAATTTAGTCTCTTCAATTACATTTAATTTGACCAGTATTTATTGATCTGTAGGTCTTGTCCTAGACCCAGGGGCTACAATGGTAGGCAGTACACAC